GAGGAGGAGGGGGAGAGGGGAAGAGGGAGAGGGGGAGAGAGAGGAGGGAGAGGGAGAGGGGAGAGAGAGAGAGAGAGAGAGAAGAGAGAGAGGAGTAGAGAGAGAGACGAGAGAGAGGAGAGAGACGAGAGAGAGAGAGAGAGAAGAGAGAGAGACGAGAGAGAGAAGAGAGAGAGAGAGAGAGAGGAGAGATAGAAAGAGAGAGAGAGAGGGAGAGGAGAGAGAAGAGATGAGAGAGAGAAGAGAGAGGAGAGAGAGAGAGAGGATGAGAGAGAGAGAGAGGGGGGGGGAAGGAAGGAAGGAAGGAAGGAAGGAAGGAAGGAAGGAAGGAAGGAAGGAAGGAAGGAAGGAAGGAAGGAAGGAAGGAAGGAGGGGAGGGGGCAGAGAGAGAAAGAAAAAGGAAAAAGAGTGGGAGATGGACGGACAGACTGACAGACAGAGACTAAAAGACGCCGAAAAAAAGAAAAGAAAGACGAATAGGGGAAAACAGAAAAGGAAAAAAAAAGAAAAAATTACACCCCCCCAAAAAAAAAAAAAAAAAAAACGAAAAAAACTCAATCCAGTACCTCTCGCTTAAGCCTCACCTGACATCAATCCACACGTGCCTGGCATTTGGTTAGTAGGTCACACAATGAAACCGATCGAATATTTACCGATCTTGTGACGTCAATAAAACCGGTGCTATCTTGTGGATATTCAAAAATAATAGTAAAAGTATCCAAGCACGTGCGGATATATAGATCGCGACTGATGACTTATAGGAGAATATGTGATTTTGTTCTGATTTTGCTATCTTTATTTTCTTTCGTGTTTTTTTATTCCTTGATGATGAGACATTCCTAAGAATTATCTATATATCTATATCTATCTAGCTGTTTGTCTCTCTCTGTCTATTGGTCTGTATTTATCTATCTGTCTATCAGTCTAATTATCTATCTATCTACATGCATACATACATACACAAAATGTAATCACCTATGCATACATGTCCACCCCCCTCTCCAACTCTTAGAAACACGCACAAAAAAATGTACAAACAAATCCTGATAATAATAATAACACAAAGAACAAGTCCTCCTTAAAAAAATCCAGAACACCCTTACACCCTCCTCATAAACCTTAAAGAACACCTTCCTCATAACCCTTCCACAACACCCTCATTACACCCTCCTCATAAACCTTCCACAACACCCTCCTCATAACCCTTCCACAACACCCTCACACCTTCATTACACCCTCCTCATAAACCTTCCACAACACCCTCCTTACACCCTCCTCATAACCCTTCCACAACACCATTACACCCTCCTCATAAACCCTCCACAACGCCCTCCTCAAAAACCTTCCACAACATCCTCACACCCTCCTCATAAACCTTCCACAACACCCTCATAAACCCTCCACAACACCCTCCTCATAAGCCTTCACAACACCTTCATTACACCCTCCTCATAAACCTTCCACAACACCCTCACACCCTCCTCATAACCCTTCCACATCACCCTCCTCATAAACCTTCCACAACACCCTCCTTACACCCTCCTCATAACCCTTCCACAACACCCTCATTACACCCTCCTCATAAACCCTCCACAACACCCTCACACCCTCATTACACCGTCCTCATAAACCCTCATAAACCTTCCACAACACCCTCACACCCTCACCATAAACCTATCACAACACTTTCACACCCTCCTCATTTCCCTTCCACAACACCCTCACACCCTCCTCATAACCCTTCCACAAACACCCTCATACCCTCCTCATAACCCTCCCACAACACCCTCACACCCTCATAAACCTACCACAACACTTTCACACCCTCCTCATTTCCCTTTCACAACACCCTCCTCATAAACCCTCCACACACCCTCATTACACCCTCCTCATAACCCTTCCACAACACCCTCACACCCTTACCTGACGACGACGTTGATGTTGTCGCACTCGTCGACCGCCTCATCGCACAGGGAGCCTCGTGACCCCAGAGAGCGGGTCATAGACTGCTCGAGGGAGCTTGCTGAGCCGAACCTGACGGAGAGGGAGAGAGAGGAACGGGTGAGATGGAGCTTTTGGAACAAGGCTGGGGTTATTTGTGGGTCAGATGGAGCTTTTGGAGAGAGATGGAGTGATTGTGGAGCTTTTGGAGCGAGATGGAGTGATTGTGGAGCTTTTGGAGCGAGATGGGGTGATGGTGGAGCTTTTGGAGCGAGATGAGGTGATGGTGGACCTTTTGGGAGAGATGGAGTGATTGTGGAGCTTTTGGGGAGAGATGGGGTGATGGTGGAGCTTTTGGAGCGAGATGGGTGATGGTGGAGCTTCTGAATCGAGATAGAGTGATGGTGGAGCTTTTGGAGCGAGATGGAGTGACGGTGGAGCTTTTAGGTCGAGATGGGGTGGTGGTGGAGCTTTTGGGGCGAGATGGGGTGATGGTGGAGCTTTTGGGTCGAGATGGGGTGGTGGTGGAGCTTTTGGGGCGAGATGGGTGATGGTGGAG